TAAAAACCCAGAAGCAAAGAAATGGCTTCTTACATGTTCTGTTTCTGAAGCATTTGGACTTTCTTCTGTAGTTCCAGGTTGTGTGCAGTGCAGATGGCCACCCTGTGACAGAAATCAATTCATCATTTAGCATTTATCAAGAATCAGACACACAAGTGTTTGCTCTATATTAAAAATCTTTTCTTCTCTTCTAATTTGATTTTAGTCAATTAGAGAATTTATTGACCATGATTTTATCTGGCCAAGAACAACAACAACACAAACAAGTCCTTGTCTACCGTTATCAATAATACCATCCTGTCCTGCCATAAACGAATCAATATATTGATAAAAATCTTGAAGTTTAAAACAAGAGAGCTTAAAATGAAATACAGTGGAACCTCCACTTACGAAATTAATTTGTTCCCGAGGGTTTTTCGTAAGTCGAAAATTTTCGTAAGTCGAAGTACCCATCGCGCCTTTTGAGTGAACAATAGGCTATAGGCTAATTGCTAACTGCAACAACAATACGTCGTTCAAGTGGAACAGCGAAGCACAAGTACGAAAGCCGAGGGATTGTCACATGATTCGGAAGGCATTCTGGGCATTCTGGGCTCAGCCAATCAGAGCCAGCAGATTTTGTTACGTGGGCATTTTGCCGTAACACGGGCAGAAATATTGCCGTTAAGTGCCTTCGTAACTGGGGTATTCGTAAGTCGGGGTTCCACTGTAGTCAGTCAAAATATTTAGATAATTAAGATATTCTGAAACTGATTACAAAACAATGTAGCCACATCCTTGGAGTCAGTGACTATATAATAATAATAATAATATATATTAAAGATTATATTAAAGATTTTGATTTATCATCTGTATCTCACCTGTTTTCCAGTCCATCAACATACACCTTCTTCTTCTTGCGGCTCTCCTGAGCAGACTGCTTGTTGCGGATCTTCCTTCTGATCCTCTTCAAAGTCCTCTCCTCTGCCTGTTACGCAGAGCAGAGCAGGCTTTCAATCACCACGTTCACAAGACAGATGACGATGTGTATAAAACAGCTTTGAGCAGCTGTGCCACAGAAAGACCAATTTAATATTCACCCAACAAAGTAAGTATGTAACTAAAGAGATATCAAAAACACCTGAAGTGAAAATTACCTTAGTGAGGGGCATGTGTTGGGGAATGGTTACTCCTTCTTTTGCCAAAAGCCGCTTCTCCTCCTCAGTGAGCACAATCTCTTTAAACTGGAACTAAAGAAGGGAAATACAAAGTTTTTCTTTTAGAAATTTTGTGTGTGTTCTTATCTCGTTAACAACATGTGTCAAACATCACTGAAAACATCAAATACAGTCTCTTAGCAAAAGAAACTGACCTGGTCTTCTTTGATGGACTCTGTTGTATCTTGTACCGAGTCCTCTATGGCCAAAGTGCAAGGCAGCTCACTGCTGACATCCTCCTCCATCGCCTCAGTCACAAGGTCATCTGTGAGAGGAAGACTAGTCATTTAAATCTTCCATCCCCCACAAATTCCACACAGACCACATCTCATGTTCCTTTTAAGAGATTTGAAATTCTAAGATAAAATAAAATGTTGAAGTTTCAGTAGTTCTTCAATAAATGATAAATACCCAGATCAATGAAGACATCTGTATCTGGCTTCTCTGCCCTCACACTCTGCAGCACGTCCATATCCCTCCCTCCGCTCTGCAGCAGAGAGTAGCTGTGATCTGCTTGGACTGTTAAGGCCTCAAAGCTTTCTGTTTGTGCCTCTGAATAAGTCACGGCAAGGTCGGAGTGCACCGGGCTCGGTTGGGAGTAGCTGGGACTGGGCACAACATCACTATCACTGCTATGAGGACTGGGGCATCCAACATGGTTGTTATTTCCAGCCCCGGAGCTGCTGTCGTCTGAAATGCCACTGTCGCTGCCCAGTGGAGAATGGGAGGGAGAGATGGTCTCCGTGTTGTCCTCTCCATCTAACAAGCTGGATAGAAAATCTTCAGTATCCATATCTGGCAGCATCTGGGAGACAAAGGTGTGTTAAATTCTAAAGCAAACACACACACATACATATAAGACTGTTAGGCTTTAAGAAGCTGTATTACCATGTAGTACATCTGGTATTAAGACTCAAAGATGTTTATATTACTGCTTCCAAAGCATGACTCGTTTTAGCACCTAGTTACTTCAGATAATGCATTAAACCGCCATCTAACCAATTTCACTAACAACATTAACTTCCTCTTACATCTTGTTCAGACAGCCATGACTCAATGAGCCCATTCCCATCAGGAAAGAAGGACTCAGTGGATCCATTCTCTCCATCAAGGAACAGCAGTCCAAACAGGTCTGCTCCAACTATGTCCGGAAGATCTTCTGCTATTGACATCTGCAGATAAACAACAAAATACAGAGGATAGCATATTTAATATCTGGTAATAATAACATTTTAATGTATATAGAAGTTATGCTGCTAAAACAGAAGTATAACATCACTGTCTGGAATATTGAGAACAGCAAAGTTCATAGAGTGTATTACAGTTCAGTTGTGCGATCACCTAGTTAGGAGTTTGGGTTAGGTTAACTGGTTCTAAATAGGCCACAGGTGTGAATGGTTATGTGTTAGCCCTGTGATAGATTGGCAGCCTGTCGAGTGTGTACCCTGACCTCACCACTGAACTGGATAAGCAGAAGAAGGGAGTATGGATGGTTGGCTTTAATAGAATAAAATTCTATAAAATTTTATAAGTCTACTGGAATTTCTTTTATGATCCTAAAATGATTTTAAATTGAGGCTCAATTAATTCTACAATTGAATCATTATGTTTTCTAATGGATCAAACCGTTTTTAAATGACCCATGAATCTCTCTGTTATTGGGGGTTTGTAGCCACGTGACTTAGCTTGCTTATTAAAGTTCATGTCATTACTTCCCTTCCCTGATTGCTGTGTAAAAGTGCTGATACCCAACAAAATACTACGATTTTTATAACAGGTCAAAGTGCGCCTGATACATCAGCGTTGGTACATTGCACCGTGACGGTCCAGTAAATGTCAGCCGTGTAAGTATATGAAAAGCAGATGTAATTCCCTGACAAGGGGCCGATAACACGTATAGTAGCCTCTTATTGCATCAGCGCCACGGTTTTATCATGACCTCATCCTATAGTAAGCCCCGCCCCCCATGCCTTTGTCACGGGGTCTGAATGCAATATCAAGTGTCAAAATAAATAAGATGCATAATTTTTAGTTTATCCAATATCGTGAAACGACTGTTTGAACGCTGCACTGTTTCCCGAGGTTTTGAAAATGGCTGTGCGCCGAATGCAGGGTGCTGGTATTCAACAATATAAATAATACTACTAATAATTTTTTGATATTTATATTAGCCATTTTATACATGAACGAAATTACTTAGTTAAGCTAGAAGTTTGCGTAGGTGATTTTTTTTCTTTTGCTTATGAATTTAAGAAGCTCAAAAGTGTAATCATCGTCAGAAGGCAGGAAACGTCTTCTTAGGCCAACATCGAGGAATCAGCAGCATTCCGGTCTAGCATTAACATTAGCCTTATAATACTGTTATAATCTTTTTCTGCTGAGGGCGTGGTCCCCTGTATCATTAAAAACACAGGGAAACATCAACAACTGGTAAGATTGGCATTAATTTCCTTACCGTTTGATGGCAAGAGACGAAATACCATTCGAGTGAGTGCGTCCGAGTGTCTTTTGGTTACTCTACTCGTGTTTTTTCAGCTGCCGCTGTATACCGTCAGACCGCTTCCTACTGAAACCACCTTCCAACGAGGCAAAAATTGCGTCATCACGTAAAGGCGGAAATGAGTACGTGGTCTTCTTTGGTGTTTCTGGGAAATAGAGTTAGTTTTGTATCTCCGTACGTGATAATTGCACTGCTTTCTTTAAGCTAATGTATGGATCATGTTATAAATAGACCAGGAATTATTATATAGAAAAATAAATAAATCTGGTAAATGTACAATTCGGTGTTAAAAATAAATACAAATACATAACAAATAAATAACAATAAATAATAAATAGGTGTCAAAAGGTAAAAATATATAATTATAAATTAAATAAAAATTAATTAGCCAACAATGCATGTTAGCAACTTATTTTATAATGATATGAATTCACTGCGTATAATGTCTGTTTGGATTTACAGCTATAAAACACACACACACACACACACACACACGCACAAAGTAATTTTAACATCAAGAAGACGAAGCAGCATTTTTAGTTTTAAATTTATTTCATTCAGCACATTTGCATGGACACGGAATCATAAAAAGACAAATAGATTCAAACTCTTACCAGAATCGTTTCATTCAAAACTGAAATTTTATTTTGCCATGTGAACTACTAACTGTTAGTTGGTCTTCATAGCTTAATGTCATCTAGTGGATTTTTTCAGGCCACAGGGAAAATACCGAGGTCAGCCAGTCTAAGAGCAGGGACATCTCATAGAGACGTATTATATAAGATGTAAAATCTCTACTTACTATCTCATCACAAGCATTAAGGAGTACAATGAAACCAGGCTGTCTGATTTCATAAACAGATGAAAAAAAAAAACTAAGGCATCGAGGAGAAGTGCAATTAAACATTTAAGACATAAACACATTTTGTGTAGATACTGCATGTTTTGCCACTTTTTCAACAAAATATTGTGGATTTATGTCTCTTCATAAAAAATAAGCTACAGTGATTCTCATAGGGCTTGTTGTTACAACACAACTAAGCGTAGGCCAAGTGTGAATTAGAAATATATGGCCTGCATGACCCAAATAATAAGTTCTGCATGCCATCTAATCATTGCTATGCTGACTTGGATAAATGAGATTTCAGAACATTTCAAATTTCTTGAGATTTCCTGTCCCTGCAAGAAAAAAAACAGACGAGGACAGCAGCAACATAGCTACAGAGACATAAGAAAAGACCAATTTTAGGACTTGAGTGGGGTTATATACCATAATTTCAATTTATACTACTGGACTGAAAATATTCTTGTTTTAATTTTTTATTTGTAATAAATCCATGCATCCAAGTCCATAACTTAATTAAATTTCCAGAGCAAAGAATTTTGTCACAGAATTGCACAGAGTTTAGATGTCTGCCGTAAACTGCGGTACACTTTTAGCCGTTCTTTTTTACTTGTTGCTGTGGGTCTGACTGCCTGTTTTACCACAGGAATGCTTTCGACAACCCGTCTCTTGTGAAAACGGTGTAGCAGAATCCGATAGACACCAGTGATGGAGCTCCTGCAGTCTTTGCCCTGGTTGTTTAGGATGTGCTCCGAGGTGATTCCCAGTGCCTCCAGCGAAGACTTTATCTCCATCTCTTCCTCAGTGAGATCTGATGGATCACTCTCTGCGAGGTAGGATGGGTCCAGTTTAAAGGGTTCCATGGCGTGCGGGAGGTCCACGGGGAGCAACCACTCGCAGCCCATCATCTGCTCCACTGTACAGCGGTCAGTTGGTATGGGTTGGAGGATTCCCCTGGTTAGCTTCTGGCATGCATCTGGCACCCAAGAGGGAATGATGTAGGCCCCATCCATGATGCACCGCTTTAGTTTGGCCACAGTGTCCGCCCTGAATGGCATTGTGCCTGTCACCATAAAAAACAACATCACCCCTAGGGCCCAGATGTCTACATAGATGCCAACATAATGCTCATCCCTAAAGAGTTCAGGCGCAGCGTATGGCGGAGAGCCACAGAATGTGTTGAGTGTCTCATCGCGGCGGCTCAGTGTGCTGAATCCGAAGTCCCCCACCTTCACGCAAGAGCCGTTGGTGTAGAAGACATTTTCTGCCTTCAGGTCACGGTGAATGATGTTATTTTCATGCTGTGGGAGAACAAAAAGAAGATCATATTATATGAGAATCGAAAATCTAACTATAGAGGAAGGACTGAGTGTTTGTTGTTATCTGTACTTCTACTTAAGTAAAGAAAGTCTGTACTTTTGCCACCTCTGTTCATGTAACCTGACACAGTGAAAACAGCAGCAGAAGCATCGGGTCTATCTCGAATTAAAAAAAACATGTTTTGCTCCTTGTTACTTCTTGGATATTTCATCCTGATATCAAGAACAGATCTTTATTACCGGTAATTATTTTGTCTAGTAGGAATTAGTTATGGCAGCTGCAACTATAGTTCCGTCGATCTGTGTCAGCATGTGAACTGCTCTTCCACATATTAAATATTCTAGTGAAATATTACAATGCAATATTTTTTTTTCATCTATTTTTATTCTTTGACAACCTGCAGATGGAGAGAGAATGAATGACTAAAATCTAAATGCGGTGCACATGAAAAGAGTGAAAGTGCTGGTTACAAGTAATGAATCATTACACAGCTATTGTGCAAACATTCAGCCCTGACAGAAATTGTCATATGAGATTTAATAGGTTAGAGGATTAGATGAACACACTGGCTTATTCAGGTCACCGTAGCAGCAGAGAACAGGCAGCACTATAGATGTCAAAGTTATACGACTATCAAGATTTTATATTATCAGACAATTTTAATATAAACGTAAATTCACTGACCATGTGTTTAACAGCAGAAAGAATCTGAGCAAAGACAAACTTGCTGTCAGTGTCAGAAAGCTTTCCTTCTGTAGTAATCTTGGTGTAGAGCTCCCCTCCGCCTGCGTACTCCATCACTAGGTGCAAACGTGACAAAGTCTCCACCACCTAAACACATACAGTGCAACTACATATGTTAGAATACATAAGCAGAAAAGTACTTGATGTCGGATAGATTTAATGATCAAAAAAAGCACAATGGCATTAGAAAGACACTTGAAAGTCCAAAATACCTCATAGAGGCGTATGATGTTGGGATGGTGTAGTTTTTCCATGCTAGAGATCTCCCTGGACAGCAGCCGCTGGGTCTTCTGATCCAGCTTGGTCTTATCTAAGATCTTTATGGCCACTTTGTCTAGTGATGCAAAAGGAGACATTTGGTCACTGATTGCTGTACACATAATACATCTCGACACAGGGGAAAAAAAAAAAAAAGTTGAATTTTTAATCACTTTTCTAATAAATTTTAAATTAGTTGTTACATAAATCTTTTGTAGACTGATGATAGACACTGTAAGCCTGGTTCCACTTAGCAGTTCAAACAACACTCTGGTCTGGATAACTGAGGTGAAAGTTTTGCTGATCCTGAACTAAATTTTCATGATTATATTCTTCCAGGGGGTCATATGATTTCTTTTCTTAGACAGTCATAAATTACTCCAAGTCTCAGTAGATATGTAGGCTCACACCGAGGATGGCAAAGGGTTAAAAAAAATAAAAAATAAAAAAAGACTGGAATAGAGTGCTACATTAGCTGCGCTGTTAAAAATCAAAATTCAAATTTAAAAATGAATAAATAAATGCAGTTTTACAATGATCAAATGCACTCTGAATTTTGAAAAACTGATATCTTGGCTGTGTTCCGTTAAATGATTCATAGAGATGCATAAAGTAGACCTCAGGTAACTGAATACAGAAAAGTTCTTAAGTGGCAAAATGGTGTTGAGATATCTAATTGTGCTACAGTATGCATTATTAAGGCTGGCATTAGACTCTCTTTCAGCTGTGACATAGCTTTCAATAGGAGCATTTAAAATGCACTGCAGCTCATTTTGTGTTTTGACTAAATGACACCACTGACCTAAACATTGCGCACACACACACAGAACCAGAGCCAGCCACAGAGTAAAAACACACAAACCTTAAATGGTAAAAAAAAAAAAAATCCATGCATGACCACGCACACAAACACACACACACAGACAGACAAACAAAGCTACACTAATTTTCCTCTGTCGTTGTAGCCTTTGATGAGGCATGCAGCAATTTTAGCCGTCGCTAAGGAAACTGGAGATCTTTAATCAATCCATCTGTTCAGGGGCAGCAGACAGTCTGTCTCTTTGTGGCTGAATCAGCCCCCTGGCCAGGCACAAATCGCCATGTTAGTAAATTGCTATAAGCACACATTTGGTAGTGTTGCAGCCCATTAATGGAAACAGGTTATCACCCAACTTATTAAGTCTAATAAGAAGCCACCGTAATAAAAGGAAGCTTGTGCGTCGTGTTTTTTTTATTCCAATGTGTTTAGACGATGTTTTTATGCGACGCTGTGCAAATGTCTGTAAATATTGCCATTTGTTTCACAGTGGGGTTTACCTTTGGTGAGAGCATGAATTCCCAGCTTAACATGGGAGAAATTTCCACACCCGAGCTCTCCATGAATTTTGTAGAAGCCGATTCTTCTGCCCACTGTTAGCTCACGGACCAAACTGCCCGCGGTTTAGATATAAAACATTTAACACCAATTTTCACTATTTGGCAAGTAAAAAAAAGAAAAGAAAAAAAAAACCACAATGAAAAATATAACAAGTAACTTACAATCACCATACCTTTCATCCTGGCACATATCCAGGTTCAGCCTTTCCAGGGGAGTGAGGCGGCGGACGGTGGCTCCTTCATCATCTGTGTTTATGTCAGAGCTGTCCTGCCGGCTCCAGCGGGCGTTCCTTTGGCTGCTACTAGTAGAGGCCACCGTGCTTCCAATGGAACCTCGGATCGAGTCTCCATGAGAATCCGCGCTCTTGACCCCAGTTACTGAGCTGGTCCCAGTGGTTCCTCCTGCTCCTGACCCCTTAGAGCCTGCTGGCTGAGTCCCAGCTTCAGCCCCGTCTGGGCTACTCTCAGAGGGGTAGACTGCAGTCATCCTGCAGGTGACACACAAGGCGGTCTGGGCTTAGTTCATAGCAGGAATTGATACAAGACTGGATACAGAATATGAAAGAAAAAAAAAAAAGTCGTTTTTAAAAAATTAATTTTTCTCAATACATTTTGAATACCCCGTTTTTCTTAACAGAATCACCTTCAAAGTAATTTTTTAAATGCCGATTAAACTCTTATGATAACTATAATGTTTGTGTCTCCAGTCCTAAAACTGAAAATACATGTAATATATCATAAATGTGAAGCCCACTTCAATATGTGCTCTATTTTTATTAGCAGATTAACAATAAATTTTAACTTTGCTGTGAGACCGTTTTGTTCCACACTTTTACAATATGTTCACAACAGCAATAATATTATTGCAGACATAATCTGCGTGACGTGAAATGAGAACGCGAAACGTATGCACGATAGTATCAATTTTGAATTTATGCTTATAGCCTACTATCCTGGTTCTGCTGTACTATGATGGATTCGATATGAAAACCGATAAAGCAAATTTGCATGCGACAGAAGCCTCGACTTACCTTTGAATGTGTGATCCTTTTCCATTTAGAAAGTAAGTCCTTTAGTGTTCTTGTCGAAATCTACCAAAGTCACATAGACAAGTGAGCCAATAAGCATGGTTTAACTTGGAAGACTGCTTTTCTACTAAATGAGTAAAAAAATCAGTGGGTCCAAGGCTCATGCTTCATCCAGAATTTCCAAAAATCTGCTGTAGCTTAAACTGTCCTTGCAGCTTGTAATCTGAAGGCTAAAGCACTTGTTGATATTTTAGTTTTCCTCACTTACGGATGTTCAGGAAAAGGTGACGAGCACGGAGATAAGATAAACGGGGAATTTAGGCTTACTGGAGTCTTTTTCTGAACAGGTCCGTGGGCTTTAATAGACTGCTTCGAGTCTCCAGGGTATAAATAGGCCACGGGGTGAGGAGGAGGGGAGAGGAGCTGGATAAGAGGGGGCAGGCTGGGGCAGAGGGGATGAACAGATGATAGTGTCAGGGTGCAGCCATGGAGTGGTTACCTGCAATGAAGGAAAAGACAGTCATAAAAGTAAGCGTCTTCTATGTTATGTTTTCTGTCTATATCAAAGCTCATGACAGCCTCTTTTACTTTGGTGCCTTTTTTTGCTTAATGTTGGTTTATCTACCTAAGAGCATGCATGCAGTATTCTACTCTCTATATGGATCAAGCGTCTCCAGAAAAAACACATTTGTTCTAGATTCCATCTTAAGTTTGTTTTTAAAAGGATAACACAAATGTACCTGTGCAGTATCTTCTTGAGAGCTTGTTAATGTGCGCAGAAGCTCCTACTTCGTCTGCTGCTTGACTCATGCTCCAAATGTGCTGCAGGCTGGGGTTGCTAGGAGAGCCAGAATAAACAAATCTGAGATACTCATTACTCTCTGCGATGAAGAAGACACTCACAACCTGAAATACCTGCATGACTAACCTTGATCATTTCATTGCAGTATGTCACACCTCCTGCTGTTTGTGTTTGATGTGGGGTGTGGGAGTGCAAAAGAGTGTAATTAGGTGATAACTGTGTACTGCTCTGGGAACACACGTCTAACAATGTCCCGTGAGATGGAAAAGAAAAGGCGAATCTGATTGGCAAGGCGCAAGTTAAATAAAATGTCTGTTTTACAGTGATTAATCTGGCAGATAAAATAACTTAATGACAGAATTTGGTGAATAGTAATTGGAGTAAATCTGGAGTTGTTTCAGAACTGCGCTATAAATAAACCTTGATTCCACCAAACTGAGTCCAAAAAATGGTTTTGTCTTAGATACTATATGTTATATCTAACCTTGTATTATTTCAAAGCAAACTAGGGTGCATAATTTAGCAGCCCATCCATCCATCCATACATAGAGTGCAGAATTATTAGGCAAATGAGTATTTTGTCCACATCATCCTCTTCATGCATGTTGTCTTACTCCAAGCTGTATAGGCTCGAAAGCCTACTACCAATTAAGCATATTAGGTGATGCGCATCTCTGTAATGAGAAGGGGTGTGGTCTAATGACATCAACACCCTATATCAGGTGTGCAGAATTATTAGGCAACGTCCTTTCCTTTGGCAAAATGGGTCAAAAGAAGGACTTGACAGGCTCAGAAAAGTCAAAAATAGTGAGATATCTTGCAGAGGGATGCAGCAGTCTCAAAATTGCAAAGCTTCTGAAGCGTGATCATCGAACAATCAAGCGTTTCATTCAAAATAGTCAACAGGGTCACAAGAAGCGTGTGGAAAAACCAAGGTGCAAAATAACTGCCCATGAACTGAGAAAAGTCAAGCGTGCAAGAGCTGCAACATCACTGGAGTCCCCAAAAGCACAAGGTGTGCAATACTCAGAGACATGGCCAAGGTAAGAAAGGCTGAAAGACGACCACCACTGAACAAGACACACAAGCTGAAACGTCAAGACTGGGCCAAGAAATATCTCAAGACTGGTTTTTCTAAGGTTTTATGGACTGATGAAATGAGACTGAGTCTTGATGGGCCAGATGGATGGGCCCGTGGCTGGATTGGTAAAGGGCAGAGAGCTCCAGTCCGACTCAGACGCCAGCAAGGTGGAGGTGGAGTACTGGTTTGGGCTGGTATCATCAAAGATGAGCTTGTGGGGCCTTTTCAGGTTGAGGATGGAGTCAAGCTCAACTCCCAGTCCTACTGCCAGTTTCTGGAAGACACCTTCTTCAAGCAGTGGTACAGGAAGAAGTCTGCATCCTTCAAGAAAAACATGATTTTCATGCAGGACAATGCTCCATCACACGCGTCCACGTACTCCACAGCGTGGCTGGCAAGAAAGGGTATAAAAGAAGAAAAACTAATGACATGGCCTCCTTGTTCACCTGATCTGAACCCCATTGAGAACCTGTGGTCCATCATCAAATGTGAGATTTACAAGGAGGGAAAACAGTACACCTCTCTGAACAGTGTCTGGGAGGCTGTGGTTGCTGCTGCACGCAATGTTGATGGTGAACAGATCAAAACACTGACAGAATCCATGGATGGCAGGCTTTTGAGTGTCCTTGCAAAGAAAGGTGGCTATATTGGTCGCTGATTTGTTTTTGTTTTGTTTTTGAATGTCAGAAACGTATATTTGTGAATGTGGAGATGTTATATTGGTTTCACTGGTAAAAATAAATAATTGAAATGGGTATATATTTGTTTTTTGTTAAGTTGCCTAATAATTATGCACAGTAATAGTCACCTGCACACACAGATATCCCCCTAAAATAGCTAAAACTAAAAACTACTTCCAAAAACATTCAGCTTTGATATTAATGAGTTTTTTGGGTTCGTTGAGAACATGGTTGTTGTTCAATAATAAGATTATTCCTCAAAAATACAACTTGCCTAATAATTCTGCACTCCCTGTATATATCTGAGAGAGACTCCAAACAATCAATTAACCAACAATAATTGATGAGGTTTCTTCCACTGTTAGCCAAAACAATAAAAAAAATATATATGAATGAGCCACAAATTCAAATTGGGTGTTAAATTTCTTTTGTTACAGCAACCATGGGCATAATACTTAGATTCAGTTTCACACACACCGGACTGGTCTCATACACTCACCAAGACTCCAATTATCCAGGTAAATCCACAATTTACACCCGTTTGACTGCTTTGTTTTGTTTTTAACAAAATCCCTGTATATCAACACTACGGCCCGATGGGCTTGGTGCATCTGAACAAACTAATAAACAATAAACTAATTAAACTGTGCCCAAAGAAAACATTTGTGCTGGCATAACAAATAGTAATAAGTCGTACTTAAAGGAAAGAACAGAAACGGTTAGTGTATCATGGAGCTTTCAAAGGCTCTCCATCAACTGTCCATATATTAAAATGAATGAATCTGTGTTGAAGGCTCGCCACAGAATCAAAGCGGTTCTCTTTTGTGAGGCCTAGAGTCTTCCAGCTTTCAAACACCTTCCTGCCATGGAACCATGAATATCTGCGTATTGATCTAGGGCAGCCTAAAAGGACTTGCTAAGGGAGGAGAGACGCGCTTTATAGCACAAAGCAACATGTGCCGAATACATGCCTTTTATGTGAGTAAATAAAAACACTAAAGGACAGCCATGCATGAGATAAACTGGTTAACAATGAAGGAGAGCATGGAAAGTTTTGGTACCCCAATCACCATTATTACCAGTTTTTTGTCCAGACATTTTCTTTAACGATATTCCTGAATGAACAGGATTGATTAATATGTCTGAATATATGCAAATACAGACATGTTTCCATGTCTTAACATTACAAACACTATAATAGTCTCAAACGTGATGTAATAATCAGGGAAACATTTGCCATATTGAGTAAAACAACTGGTAAACTACACTGGCTCTACTGATAGCAACTGAGTTTAGAGTATCTTCAGAAAAGGTCCATAAATGGGTATTTACTGAGATTGCTTTGTCCTCGGCTTCCACTGTATAACACATCTAGCAGGTTGCTTAGTGATGAACACTGACCAAACGTGTTTGTGTAGGGTTGAGGATTAGGCATTAACTGGATCTCCTCAAGGAAGAGAGTACACAGTGTCATATTTACAGTTGCACTGAGCCTGCGAGTACCCGTGCTAATCGTGTATATGAGCAGACTGAAAGACATAAACACACCAACACGTGCACAACAGCGGATTCATGAACCGTTCACGGTGGTGAATGCACTGAGATTCCACTCAGATTGCACTGAGGTACTGTTGCTGCAAAAAGTTGTTGAAAAATGAAATATTGCAATAAAAAAAAATTATATTTTTGTCCATGTAACAAAGAAAGTTACTGATAATGAGAAAAACTAACAGAGCTAAGGTGTTATGAGTATTTTCCTCATTGAGTTATTTGAGGAAGCAATGCTAAATATTTTAAATTCTAAATTAGTTGCATTCCCCATACAGTTAATGCTATGACTTAATATTGAATGCAATCTTCACTTGTTTGAAGCACCAAATGTAAAAAACAAATAATAGAAATGTATGAAAGTGTATAAGACTGCAAACAGCTGGGCGTTCATAAGCAAACACAATCAGCTCTGCCAAGTGTGAGTCCTTCTTTACTCACCAGACAGCCAGTCACTTGTCTCAAGATCCCTAAAGGGAAGAAGTAGGGTGGTCTGCCGGCTGCTGATCACTCTGCTAGCATCAGCAGCCTCTTCAGACGCTCCAACAACGGAAAACACAAGAACCCATCCACAGCAGCTGTGGATCAAGATTTACTTGCTCTTTCCATCTGTTATGGTTCCTATTGCCAAAATGCCTGTTTGTGTCTTTACTTAAGAAGGGTACAAAGCTGCTGTATGAAAAAGAGTTCCTCCTCTCTGAAAAACCCCTCACTTTGCTTTCCATTCATTCAGTTCACCCGCGCTTCTATCTCATTTTCTCTCATTGAGTGCACATGCACATTAACAGACTCTTTCCTCGGACAGGCGCATGCACGTGAAAGCATACACATGTGCAGACAGCGAGCTCACCCCACACAAAGCTCCCCAGTGTGTTAACAGAGGCGCACAGCTGACAAGAGTGAAAAGCTCAACAGTGAAAGAGTTTCAACAATGAGGACCATGGGCCCTAGGAACAGAGAAGCAGGCCTCTCTGGAATCTATGGGGCAAATATTTCACAATTCAAAAAAAAAAAAAAAAAGAAAGGAAAAGAAAACCAGAGTGACCTCTAAATCCCTTTCCTCTGACGCACATTTACACACACAGTCCAAAGCACAGTGGCAGAGGCTTCAAAGGATACACAGCAACTTATTACAAGGAAATAACTTTGACAAAGTTGCTTTGCAAAGACGCTGCTTAATTGGTTTCCGCATATACTTTTCTGCTCCTGTGATTAAATGCTAAAAATGTTTTTCTTTTTTCTTGTTATGCAGCATGACTCACCTGAGCTACTATTCCCTAAGCCTGGCAATATACAGCACTGTGCAGATTCAAGTACATCTTGGTGAGCAACAGAGCCTTAACCAAAGTCAACATGACATCATTAGAGGAGAACACAATAACAGGACAATGCTGCGGACAACATATCCTGCATCTGGTGCTTCAAATCTAAATTCTATTCGGTCGTTAATGTTTCTGGCTTTAAAGAGCCGTCTGAGTTTGCATGTTATTCACTGTCAGCACATCAAAGAGGCGTGCATCAAAGAAAGACACATGAAGCACAATGTTTCATGTTCACTGACTGAATGATCATGAAAAGAAATATAATTTTAGAACTTTTTTTGCTTCAAGTGGAGATAAAATTAACTCAAGAAGGCTATTTTCCTCCTTTTGCCTTTATAAGATAGAAAAATGTTTAAGCTTCATGTTTAAGTGTGCAAAACACAGCATAATGCAGTGTAGATTACTTTCTTAACTTTTCACATCTTCCATGTATTTGCTCCTTGGAGCAAACCAAAAAGTCAAAAAGTATTACTTATTAATTTCATATCATTTCCTTATGACAGGAGGGAAGATTTTAAATTATTAATGCAGGAAAACCAGTAGAGCAGGCTATAAGGAAGCAAAGCACTGCTCCCAAGCCTTTACCACAGAGGGAGATGATGATGTAAAAGGTGAATTTGGGGGAAATGACTGGCATTCGTCATAACACACTGGTAAAAACCAACAGGTGTTAGAGCCAGACTTTATTCATTCCGAGCCCGATGTAATTGAGCCCGGTCAAAAGCGGTATGAGAAGTTGAACAGAGTTTAGGTGGATCTCCAGTTAAGTGTTGCATTTTGTAGGTTTCATGCATAAATGTGCAACCCCCAACAAGCGGGGTTGGTGGCTTTAACTTTGAATGCATGTGCATACGTGACAGAATTAAAAACAACAACAACAACAACAAAAAAACAAGTAAAACGAAAAGATTAAAGTCCAGTGCAGTAAAATCTGGGTCCACTGTAGGGGCTCTAGCCAACCACCCTCAGAGAAAACGAGATAAAGCTCTGCTGGGTCGCCAGAACTGAGGTTTCGATGTAGGTTTAAAAAAAAAGCATCTTTGTT